ACCCCGCGTACCTGCACGCACGCACGCACGCACGCACGCACGCACGCACGCACGCGCGGTTACATTAGCAATGCTAAAGCCATGACAGCAGGCAAAACTGCCCCGCGTACCTGCACATCCGACAGCGCATCCAGCGTGTCGTACGAATCCCCAGCCTCCTCATCCTCATCCTCCGCCAGCAGCGGCGCGAGTCGGCTTCGCTCCTCGGCGATGACGAATCTTAGATCGCAGACGTTCTCGAAGAATGCCTGCCAGTGATCGAGCAGCGGAGAGAGGCGCGCCAGTCTACACGATGACCTGCGACGAAAGCAAGCGACGACAAACGTATAAAGTCAGCGTTCAGCTTTTGATAGAGAGAGAGTGAGAGTGAGAAAAGAGAGAGAGGCGGATATTGGGGGTGGGAGAAGAAGAGAAAACTGAAATATACTCTTCCGTACGTTTACACTTCCGATTGTTCCAGCAGGCGACACAAATCGCCACAAACACCACAAACACACACACACACTATGAACCACACACACGTGCAAAAAAATGCAGTGAAAACGAACGCGTTACCATTCTAGCAGGCAGCACAGCGCGTGTGACATCGCAGCACGGCACACACACGCGTTCTGTTCCGCACGCACACACGCGCTACAGAAACAACGCCGTATTTTTCTCCCGCAACGAACGAAACAACGATCAACTTGTGCTGCGCGACCCGGACTGCGAAAGCACCGAAACTAGCTGCCGTGAGCGGGGACGGCACGCACGTACAATGGCCCGTCGGTATCTTTACCCGTCTCAGGGGCTAATAGCTTTGACATACAGCAGTGTGTGGACATTGCACCCTCGGAGCGCTTATGGCGGGACGGTTGGTCCAATTCCCGCCGGATTAAGCTAAAAAAAAAATAGCAACGGGGCATTCGCGGCCGGCTCAATCCAATCCGGATCCGCTCGTCCGTGAAACGGTGGCGGCGTTTCACTATTTTTAATCCGTCATTCGAGAAGTTCATATAACCGCAAAAAAATACACACGGACACACACACACACACACACACACACACACACACACACACACACCGGATGTTTAGTAGCTTTATTTTGAACTACGCGAAGTAGAACAGCAAACTTTTGGTCGCATGCCGGGTTTCATGAACACGGGGGCAACGTGCATTAATACAGGCCGGTGCCGCATGACTGCTTCAGGCGCTGACAAAACAATGGAATCGAACGTGACACGCATTGTTCTTACGTGCGCACGAACAACGGAACGATATCCGGCTTCTTTCCATCGCACTTCTCTAATCTCTATATGCTAACTATGCTCTATGTTCACTATGCTTATATATGCTTTATGTTAGCATATACAGATCAGCGATCGCACTACCCGTCCAGTCAATCTCCCTTCCGCATCCTATATCCCTCGGTGATTTTATGCGGAATAATATTAAGACGACGCGAGAGGCGGTGATGGGGGAAACAGTTGTACAAATACGAGTCAAACGAAACAAAAATTAAAATGTCCATTAACGGCGTAGAAATCAATGCGAACAAGCTGGAATTACGAGAGTAAAGTATTACCACGGGGGTCCCGGCGCGGGATAAGGAAGTAGTAGTAGCAACAACAGCAGCGGCATCATCATCACTCATACATGCAAATTCATTCATCATCATCACTCACATCATCATCATCATCAGCAGCAGCAGGCAGCAGCAGCAGCACAGCAGTAGGGGGAGGGAAGAGGAGGCCAGAGGAGGAAGAGGAAGAGGAGGAGGAGGAGGAGGAGGAGGAGGAGGAGGAGGAAGAGGCAGAGAAGAGGAGGGGAGGAAGAGGAGGAGGAGGAAGAGGAGGAGAAGGAGGAGGAGAGGAGGCAGGAGAAGAGGATGCAGGCAGGCAGCAACAGCAGTAGGAGGAGGAAGAGGAAGGCAGAGGAGAAGAGGAAGAGGAGAGGAAGGAGGGGAGGAGGAGGAGGCAGAGGAGCAGGAGGAGGAGGAGGAGGAGAGCAAGGGCAGCAGCAAGGCAACCAAGCAAGACACAGCAACAATCGTATGTAAGTAGTAGTACTACCATCAAGCCGTAGCAGGGCAGCAGCTGCTGCACCAACTCCCTGCGTATAAATGCGCGCGGGAGAATTATTTCTCCGTTCATATCATTATTTCTCTTCGCGCGAGCTAAGCATATGTGAGACAAAGCCAGCGACGCGACACCTGCTCGTGTGCAGTTTTGCTCTCGCTGCCCTATACCTCGCGCGCTCTTCTCTCGCTCTTCTTCTCTCTCGTTCTCTCTCTCTCCTCGGTAGGCTTCCTCTCTCTCGCTCTCTCTCGTCTCTCTGCTCGTTCTCTCTCTCTTGCTTCTCCGCTCTCGTCCTCTCTTCTCTCTCCTCTCGTCTCTCTCTCTCCTCGCTCTCCTCTCCTCCCCCTTGGAGAGCTAATCGTGCTGCGCGCGAGAGAGTGAATTAACCGAGGAAATTCTACCATCAAATCTGCTCCTGGGCATTTAAACAAAATGAATTGTATGTCGTTTTATTGGGAGAACGTAATGACATTTAATTATCGTATCTGCCGAACGTTTGTTTATTTTATGGATTTTATTTCGCGATCTTTTTTTCGATTTTGGCTCGATTGTTGCGCTCTTCATTACTGTAATCCTGACTACGGTACACATACGTTTACAAGCGCCTTATTGTAGGCATATTATTATTATTATTAGCCTTCTGATTGTATTTTATGGTGGGCGTGATGGCGCGCGCGAGAAGACACACTTGGCGTACAGAAATAGATTGCATACATAGACTAGCAGCCCAGCGGATTGTGTCCAAGCTATATAACCTCTTAAGCTCGTTACGTGCTTCCGCGCCACATTAACTTAAGACAAGCTGACAGCGTCGTGGTGGGGGAGCCGACATACAGAGAATGTCCGTCTTGCTGCTATCCTGGTGGCACGGCCGCAAGCTCTTCACACCACACACAGCATAACATAATAACATGTTGTGTGCGTGCGTTGCGTGCGTGCCGTGCTGCGTGCGCGCCGTTCATAGAATACCCTGACGCGTTTGTTAACACACCGACATAATATTTACTGCAGTATTCACACAATAAGCGATCCGTTACAGAACCAATATCTGTTCCGGAACGCCATTGCGCAATATCAAAGGACCATAGCTCCAGCATAACACTAATGATCGCCCGCTTTATCAGGACAAGAGACCAGGGAAAATGTACATGATTGTTTTTTTCAAAGACACATGTCGGTTAAGCGTGCGCCGTTTATCGCCGAGGCCAGATAAAGCGGGACGACAGTGGTATCCCAGAATATGTATCCAACACACATTTCCGGTAGAATATTAATAGGGCAATATATCCATGGGCAATATCGCAGTGAGCTATTTGCAACTGCAAGCAAATCGGTCATCATCCTCCAGTGTTCATATGATATAGTTGACTAATGTACAAGGCTGTATTCGTTGTAGGGGGGAATATTGCTCCAGGAAATGACATTCACATTTTGTAGCAATTGGGGTTGGGGTTAGCTTTTTCGCAAATATTATCGTTCCGCTGAAACCTTAAATAATTTTTTTTTATTGGGCCGTAGAAGAGTTGTTGTCAAGGATGGGTTGTTGTCTGGTGGGAAACCGCAGAAGGGGCTATACTGTTGTTCACTGCAAGGAGGTAGGAGATCATATGTTCAATACGGTTTACAGTCGCTATAGACATGGTGTGACGATTTGTCAAATTAGTCAAACACATGTGTTTGTGGCGAATAACCAATATAAAATGCCAGAACAACATATTACTCTTCTCAAACAACATGTATATTCACAAAAACATATATACCTGTTTGCAAATAAACCATTATGAAATCCGCGGAAACCACTACCTGTTTTCCTCGCGGGCACAGATGATATATTCGCGTGCCGGCGACATGCTTTATCTCAAAGCTTGCTTTTCTGAAAGTTGCTTTTCCACGGCCGCTGTGCTTTTTCCCCTTAAGCACTGGTCCCCGCCGCCAGCGCCTCTCACAAGCTCTCTGCCTAGATAGCACCTGACGGTTTTTGCTGTGCGCCCGAGACAGTGGGGCCGCGACTCCGTCTATAGACCTTCTCCACGTGACGTCATAGGCATTAATGCTCAGCTGCTTAGACTGGTAAGAGCCGGTGCGGCACCATCCTCGTCCAGAGACAGGTACACGTCCAGAGCCAGTCTACCAGCTTTGATCAACCATAGCATAGAATTAGCTGCAAGTAATGCTTTCCCCTTCTTCTATCTATATGCAAACAAACTATAGATTCTCGTGCTAAACGCAAGTAGAAGCTAAAGCAGAAACTCGTAGAGAGAAGATTGCATTGTGTGCGGTGCTGATTCCCTTATGCCATATGTAGGTCGCGTTTAAATCTGTCCTGGATTGTGAGAGTAAAGGTTTACCGGTGTCTGTCAAAGGTGAGTTTCTTTGGATGTACAATATCGTAAGACATTGAAATCGCGTGTCTACTGATAACTTACTTTACTTAAGTATCCTACGCAGAACTGTTGAGTTGGCATTGGCAGCAAGCCATGTACAGTCGTGTAAAGCAGTACAAACAGAGCACTTTTCCTTGGGGTGAGCAGGAGCCGTGATACCAGTCATACACTATGTTGTACTTATTTCAACCATCACCCACCAGTAATAATAGCTAGTACGTATGTAGTGTGACGTAGGGTCATGTAACTATGCAGCATAAAACGTAGACCTCTGGCTATGAGACCATATTGATCTAATACAAAAGTGTTCCTGTAATTCTACTACTTATAAATAATTTACTGTAGTAGCATATAATATCATTTTAATTTTAATTATTGTTGTTTCATCATTACGCAGCTATATTACAATGATCTCGCTGCTGTAGTTTATTTCCCGTTGATGCATTTTATTCTCGGCTAGGTGCTCGCATTCCCAAAGGCTTTTGGAGGAACCGTATGCAAGTGTGGGTGATTCTGTGAGAAGGATGGCAGGTGTAACTGTTTGTATACGGCGCACTCTACACTGCATGGCAGGGCTTGGGGAGCATGCTCCATGTAGGCGGCGGGCGACACTCTTTGCCAATTGACAGTGCATGGTAAGTATATATTTTACTAAAAAAATCAGTGAGGCAAACATGAAATAAACCCATCATAATAGTAACAATTCTTCCCTTCTTAGTAAGAATTTTTACCATGGTTTTAACTTGATTAATCATAGTTAACATTCTTTCTTTGTCAGCTGGTAGCAGCAAATATTTTCCGGTATCGCATTCTCGGCTAGTATTGTTACGGCAGATACGTGGCAGGGAGTGCAGTT